TGTATTCTTTTCCTAATTGCCTTGTTAATGCCACCTTCTGTAGAAAGAAATCGCAGCTGCTTCCATACTCCAAAATTCCAGGCTACTAGCCCTGTTATTGCAGCACCAGAGCAGGCAGGTAACAATGTGCTCATTTTGATGATGGCTACATTCCACAGCTCACTCAGGGATAGGTACTGAATTGTTGCTTCTTTTGTGTCTTTTCCACCTGCTTCACCCTTTACTATGAGCTGACCTCCATGTCCATTTTTTCTTGTTTATACAAGTGACTGGTAAGGGTAGTTTCAGCAGCAATGCCCGTCACTGGAGTTAGAACCTGTCACCTTCTTGACATATTTAAAGACCTTCTCTTCCTCTGAGGGTACTGAGTAGGACTTCCCCTTCACAAAGCCATACCGGCTCTGACTAATACTTGCATTTTCCTTTGGGTGTTTTACAATAGCTCTCAGAACAATCTTCTCCATCCTTTTACCGGTCACTGGAGCAAGACTGAGAGGCTTGTAGTTTCCAGGATCACCTTTCTAGTCCCCTCTCTTGGGAAAATGTTACCCAGATTGCAATTGAGTAGGACCTCTCCAGATTCCCAAGACCATTCAAAAATTATTGAATGAGATCTTATGATGAATGACATCAGCCAGCTCTTTTGACTACTCTTGGCTGAATCCCATCAGGCTCTTAGACTTCAGGGGATCGAGCTAGTTTTTCATTCTCATAGCCACGGTCCTCCAGCTCAGGGTGCTGGGACATGCTTAGCTCATTTTCAGTGTTGACAAGAGAGGCAAAGAAAGCTTTAAACATCTCTGCCTTGTCTATGTCCCTGCTTGTGAAGTCATCATCCTCATCCTGTAATGGGCCAACATTATTTCTGCACTACCTTTTGCTACTGACCTATCAAAGAAAAAAGACCCTTTTTCTTAATGTTCTGACAGTTCTGGCTATCTTCAACTCCATTTGAGCTTTGGATGCACAATTTTCTCCTTACAATGGGGAGCAGCACCTCTGTATTCCTTTCGTCACTAATACAACAAATGCTTTTAAAAATTTGTTCTAACGTGTTATTCAGATTTGTTATTACCTGAACTCATCACACCTCCTATTGGGCACAAGAAAAAGACTGTCCTGGTTTAACACCAGTCAGCAACGAAGTATCACACACCCACTCAGTTTTCTCTCCCCTCTTGTCAGCGAGATGGGAATAAGATTGGGCAGAAAAGGTAAAATCCGTGGGCTGAGATAAAGACCATTTAATAATTGAAATAAAGTAAAATTAATAATAATAACAGTAGAGAAAGGAGGAAAGAGAAAGGAATAAAACCCAAGAGAAAGAAGTGATGCACAATACAATTTCTGACTGCCTGCTGACTGACACCCAGACTGTTCCCAAACAGTGACTGGCCCCTCCAAGCCAACTCCCCCCACTGTGTATCTTGGGCATGATGTTCAAGGGTGTGGGAATATACAGGCCACCAATCCTGGCCATGATCCCTCACAGCTTCTTGTGCACCTGGCTGCTGGCAGCACACGGGACACTGAGAAAGTTCTTGGTTTAGGGTAAGCCCTACTTAGCAACAACTAGAAATCACTGTTATTCAAAGGGTTCTCATACAAAATCCAAAACACAGCACTTCACCAATTAACTCTATCCCAGCCAAAGTCAGCACAAAGCCTTAGAGTTTACCACAGCAAGGGCACCAAATCACCTTGGTCTGTAAATAATCCTTAGTCTGGCTCCCTTTGGCCAAGTAAGGAATTCTTTCAGCATCTAGATGCTTCTTGATTGTAAACCTTTCTGTCGACCCAGAATCCTCAGCTACACAAGGACCTCGGCTGGGTTTGAGGGTTAATTTTTTTTAATTGCTAGGGAATCCCCAAGTAACCAATTAAGCTGGCTTTAAGACTTTGAAAAACCAGGGCAGCAAAGAGTGAACTTAGTGGGAAGCAGATCTGGCCCGCTATTTTAAGTAATCTTTAGACACTGGGGCGGG